GGAAACCAAGTATTAGCAGAGAGAGCAGCTATGGTAATACAATGTGAGCTGCTCAATATTCAGTTACACTGTATCTATTGATCAAGGATTTCAAATCAATTGACTGAGTGTGGTTAGGATATATTTTACATTTTTTTTCTGTTTTGTGAACATCTTCATTAGTTTTCCAATACATTATTATACAGTTACAGCTACTTAGACGGAGATAAAAATGACTACAATAGCTAAGATCTGCTTTCTTTGCTTGATATGCATCAGCATTTAAATACATACGTTATCAGAAAAGCCAAATTGTATGACCACCCACAGCAAACTCTTCTGGAAAATCACAAAAAAATTAATAAATATTGATGATAAGTACACACAGCCTGATGAACAGAGAACAAAATCTTCGCAAAACAACATTTTAACCACAATGAAACATAACAATTACAGTATCTAAAACATTTTTAAAAGGAAGCATTCATTTCTGAAAAAAGTTGTTGCCAAACTGACAAGAAAGTCCAATAAGGAATACATGGGAAGCAAAAAGCAAATTGTACAAAAACTAGAAACAAATTATAAGATAATTGAATTTCCCACTTGGCACCATTTTGGATTCTAATATGTCATATTATTACACGACTCAGGCAGTCAGAGGGCCAATAACTAAAATTAACCAATCAAAATGCTCTATTGCCGGTCCAATATTCTCTAAGTATTGGACCGGGCACTGTCCTGAATGGTCCCGAATGATACCGCACTTGTATCCCTTTGAACTTCAGTCGTATAATAAATCTCTTATTAACCAAGCTTGCTTGGGACCGTACTGGAAGAATATCGGCCCTTGGTCTTTTTTGTACGGACCTAGCTGCGCTCGGTCCGTACTGTCAAGACCTTGGGCCGATATTCTCCAAGAACAGCCCTCGCACTTGGTTAATAAGATATATATATCACTGCAATCATCATCAAACAATAATTATTTTGATGATGTAAATGACGATAGTAAATTTTAAGGCTAGCAATTTGAGTGAAAGATGATGTTGTTCAGTGAATAACACAGGCATACTCAGACAAAAAGAACTTCGGGGGGCGTCTGAAAGTAGGAGTCGAACCTAGGCCTGCAGGTGCTCTACCAGGAGACTCCTGACAGGCTTGGTAAATTAACTAGGTCCAAGTTGACAAACTGTTTGCAGGAGTTGTAAGGGGATCATACACATAACATTGGCAACTCTAAAACGTCAACATGGTGGCTCACATATCGTGGGAGGCACAGGTTTGAAACTAGACTTGCTCACAAGTTGCGCTTTTGAGTGCGTAGCGTGACAGCGAGTGTGAAGCACGAGCAAGCCGTGCAGGTCCTATCACACCAGAACAGAAAACCAAGCGAACGACTTTGAGAAAGTCTAGTTTGAAACCAGAAGAAGCCTAAACTTTTTCAGGCTTCTTTTCTGCAGTTGCTCAAATTGCAGTCCACCTCCTGGTATCATTCCTTTGCTGTATTATTATCCCCATGTCAAATGAAATCTATTATAAGGAAATTGTAAAAACTCATTCTAGGTAATTCAACAATTTCCTGTTTTCTGTAAAATGATCCTGTATCAAGCAGCCCTGAATAAGGCAGACATGCAATGGTGAGAATCCCTTACAGTGTTTTCCCTTTTAGATAAGCTTCAGTGCAAAGAAACTTACTTTATTTTGTCTGCTTCTTTATTCTTGTAAATTGTTCGCACAATAAATGTATGCTAGATGGGAAAGATACACAACATACCTGTAGTGAGTACTTCAAAGCAAACAACACTTAAGTGTCTTAAGTGCTTGGAAAAGTATGGGTAAAAAGTTTCCTTTTTTGAAAAAATGAACATAGTTGTAACCAAGGAAACTTTTTAGAAACTCAACAGAGGTTGTTTCTTTGGCACACAAAATATCAGTGCAAAACTGTACAGCAAGGATTGTGTCTTTCAATTTATGGGCATTACCAGTGCTTTGTCAAAAATGTCACTGGTAGCATAAGAAAAGTGTAAACTGATTGGTGAGTTTACTATACACCCATTCATATGGATAAGACAAAGCCAACAGGCCACTGAAATTTAGTCCAGGAATTCTGTGATCTGAGCTATTTAAGGAATGTTGTCTATTCCTGTATTTAAATTAATTTACCCCTCACTAATCAACATACATTTCGACTTGAGCGTGCTGGCACTGTTATCTTCTTTGGAATGTCTGGGTTGGCTACAACATATTCATTCCAGTTGACTTGAATGCTGATGTGATCCAAGCTTGCCTCAAAGAAGTTGGAATTGTTGACTAAAACAGTGCTCTAGAAATTAAAAAGAAATACTCATACTCAACACCAGTCCCATCCACTTTATTACAACATTATTTTGAATAATTATTCTGGTGATTATCATTCAAAGAAAGGAGATACTTCTAGCGGTATTTGAAAATCGAACTTTAGATATCAAAGATCTTCTTAGAATGCAGCATTAGTTCAGAAGAATTACAATTGGTAGTGTCTCCT